ATTCAAAACAAACAATCATCAACATTTTATCACACTTGGTACAGATGCAAACAGGGGAGGAGAGTTGAGTCTCTAACAGCATCCATACATATTACACAATCTTTCGCTTAATTTTGGTTTTCATCATTCAACAATTAAAAGGAAGAACCTTGAGGAATTAAGCTTGGAATGCTGAGCTTTAGTCTTCCCTGAAGTCCTCGACTATTTTTGGAAATTCTTTATGTATTCAATTCTTTTTGCCTCCTTCTCTTCATTTGTCAGTAGTAATTGTTCAGCAGGAATCTTAATATGCTATTTTCCTTAATATAAAAAACCTGTTAGATCACATTATAAATAGCTTATTATAAGAAACAGATCACATTGGATAATAAAACCCATAAAATGACTAGTTACAGCAAACATATTAGATCATATTGGACAATAAAATCCACAAAATGACTAATTACAACAAATATATTAGATCACATTGGACAATAAAACCCACAAAATGACTAGTTACAACAAATGTTTGTTGTAACTAGTCATGTTATGGGTTTTATTGTCCAATGTGATCTAATATGTTTGCTATAACTAGTCATTTTGTGGGTTTTATTGTCCAATGTGATCTAATATAATAGTATATCATTTGATTAAGAAGAGTATGTTTGTTTTAAACTTCATTTTAATACTTTTTCCTTACAAGAAAGTTTGATGCTGTTAAGTAATGTGGCTCATTCTCTGTTGATTACTGTTTCTATTAATATTAATTTCAACATCCTTGTTAACTGTAATGTGTTAAGGAACTATTCTTAGCATAAGCTATGGTTATTAAACCAGTATTTAGCAAGGCAGTATGAAGACTGACATAACTTGGCATGTCACTCAACACTTGCTGTGGTTGTCAGTACTTGTTTTGCAAATTAAAGCTTTAAGCTTGAAAAACATTAATTGTAAGATTTTTGTGGTGAGATAATAGTGTATCAAACTATATTAATATTTTATTCTTATTTTTCCATTGACTTAGATTATTTTACCATCTGTATTTGTATGTTTGGCTCTTCTACTAACTCTGATGATACCCCCTTTCATGGAAGAACCCCCTCTAGAATTAACTCCATGGCTATATGGACCACCTAACTATGTATTTTATAGGTAGGTTGTTTTTTTTTCAAATTAATCACTGACAGTTATTAACAAAATATAAAATTCTGGCCTTGATTTATGAATAATTCAGTTGTTTCTTATAAAACTGTTTTTATTTGAAAGTTTCTCATTCTTAATAACAGGGTGAAATATTCACATTGAAAGCATAAATCTGGTGTTAAACTAATGAGATTTCTTTAAATGAATGGTACTGAGCTAGTTTTGATAATTAAACTTGAGATCTTATTGATTTTTATTCCAAAGAAATGTTTATATGTGTTTAACTGTTTTGCTTCAGTAATGAAGATCCAGACAATCCACTGACCCAGGCTTACATTGAACAACTCTTGGGAAACCCAGGTCTTGGAACACGTTGTGTAGCAGGAGACCCACTTAAGTAAGTGACATCTTGCAGAAAGTTGCAGAATCAAGTTAAATTACTGTATGTTTAGATCATGGTTGATTTTGGTGTTTTAACTCTGTGTATTCAGATAATGGCTCATTTTCAGGTTTTATTTTGTTGTGTATTTAGATCATTGTTAATTTTCACCTTTTAACTCTGTGAGTGTTTAGATTTTTCTTAATTTTTATGTTTTAACTCTGTGTGTGCTCATATCATGATTTATTTTGATGTTTTAACCCTGTACATATTTATATCTTGGTTTATTTTTATATTTTAACTCTGTATGTGTTTAGATCTTGGTTCATTTTGATGTAACTGTGTGTGTTTAGATCTTTGTTTATTTTAACTGTATTTAGATCATGGTTCATTTTGACATTTTTTTTCTGTATGTGTTTAGATCTTTCTTCATTTTGATGTTTTGACTTTGTGTGTGCTTGGATCTTTCTTCATTTTGATGTTTTGACTTTGTGTGTGTTTAGATCTTTCTTCATTTTGATGTTTTGACTTTGTGTGTGTTTAGATCTTTCTTCATTTTGATGTTTTGACTTTATGTGTGTTCAGATCTTTGTTCATTTTAATGTTTCAACTCTGTATGTGTTTATGTCTTGGTTAATTTTGATGTTTTAACTCTAGATGTATTTAGATCTTGGTTCATTTTGATACTTTAGCTGTATGTGTGTAGATCTTGGTTCATTTGAATGTTTTAACTCTGTATGTTTAGATCATGAATCATTTTTATGTTTTAACTTTGTGTGTTTAGATCATGGTTTATTTTGATGTTTCAGCTCTAGGTGTGTTTACATCGTGCTTTATTTTGATGTTTTAACTGCTGTCTCCAACTTCACACTTATTAAACAGCATAGCAACAGATCATTCTTCTGAAAGACCTTGCCTTAGTTTTCTAGCTAATTCACACAGTTTTGTACAAAATACTGTTTTTCAGCCTGGTAACAAACAACTGAGTAATTTAGTATGTGATTTCCAGAATCTAGACCATTTCAACCTAAGAAGAACTAACTATACAAGTTTTAATGTTTTTTACATACTGAATGGAAATTTTCATTATAATTTATAACTTTATTAATGTAAATTTAAAATATATTTTAAGGAAATCCAAAGTAGTTTTTTTCCTTTAACATTCTGAAAATGACCAGTTGCATATAACAATGCCCAGTGAGCATGCCCTGGTTGAAAGAGATTCACACACACACACATACATGGTAAAAGAATAGAATTTATCTCAGTTTGAGTTTTGTTTATCAAACTTTTTACATTTCTTCCACCAACAGGAATGACTTGGCTGATGTCTGGTAATAACTATGATATTGATACATACTGAGTTTTTCATTAATGTTAATGCAATTTCGTGTAAAACTCTCCACCATGAAGATGACCTCAGCTAAAATACTGAATAAATAAACAAATGTTTTCTTAAAACAAAGTCATTTTTGTGCTTCTCACATTACATTGAACATTTTGACATGTTTGTATGGTCCTGAGAATTTTGTATCCACCTAGTGTACAGTTGCTTCATTCACCTATGCTTGAACGTAAAGCAAAATGTCATAATTTAATTATTGTCTGTTCTACTTATCATGAGTTTCATATTAAGCTCTGTCATTTTTTATTTGGGTTAAAGATTTTATATTTCATTGATCTTTAAGACGAGTCCTTGAAGTTAGTAGTTTTTTGATTATACCTGAAATGATGTTTAAAGGCCCTTAAACCATGGAAATATCAATATTTGCAACTTTTGAGGAAGATTTAATATGCCAATAAATTAAAGCATAGATTAGCTTATTTAATCAGATTGTAGGTATTTACTGAAACTTATGATTCTTGCTAAATAAAGAGTTTTTGTTGTTTCAGGGATTTACCATGTAAACCAACATTCATGAATTCATCTTTGTTACTACCTCAGTATAACTTATCTCAAGCAAACAGAATTGTTCCATGTAACTGTAATTTTGGAACACAGCACTGTCCAGCAAGTGTGGGAGGACCAGAACCCCCTAGTGTGGTTGCCAGCACTACAGATATCATCTACAATATGACTGGTCGAAATATTTCAGACTGGCTTGTTAAAACTACCAAAAAGTATTACAAAAAAAGGTTTGAAATGGTTTATTTGGATATCAATTTATAGGAATAATACATAAAAGTCAAGGTAACAAGATATAATAATGATTTCATTACAAATGACTTTTAAGTTTTTGATCAGTTAAATAAAGCTTTCTACAAAAGATTATCAGATTCTAGTATTAGTGTTTCATATAAAATTTGTCTTTTTTCTCATAATTAATACTTGTATGTACATTTTATTATGCATGAATAGATATGGAGGTTTTACATTTGGAGAAAAAAAATCTTCTTGGAAATTTTAACTTCACATATATAAAAGAAGCAGCACATCAGTTAGTTGAAGCTAGTGGCTTCTCGAAGAAGTGGAAGGAGGTGGAGACTATGATAGACAAAGTAGAGAAACAGTTTCATAATGTACAAGTCTTTGACAACATTAAGGTAGAGCAAACTTTTCATTTTAGTTTCTCATGGCATGTATAGCTACAACTTATTTATTAAAACTTGCTTCTTTTAATTCAATAAATTATATTGTGTTTATGCAGTATTTGTTGTTAAAATGGCTCAACATTCAATCTTGTAGCATTAAATTTTCAAAAATTTTCAAGGGGGGGGGACATTCCCCCAGACCTCCCTAAAAATGGCTATGGTCTGACCACTACAAAATTGCTTCTTACTGCAATGAAACTTGTCTTATTTAAACATTTTATTTTTATAATTCTGTTACAGGACAAACAAGTATCTATAACATGTAGTCTGTCACCATCCACTCTGTTACAGGACAAACAAGTATCTATAACATGTAGCCTGTCACCATCCACTCTGTTACAGGACAAACAAGTATCTATAACATGTAGTCTGTCACCATCCATAATAGTTACAGGACAAACAAGTATCTATAACATGTAGTCTGTCACCATCCACAATAGTTACAGATTTTATATTTGATATAATTCTCAAGATTGGCTTCTATATGAACATCACCAATCCACAAATAGCTTGTCTTATAATCACTACTGTTTGTAAAGACATAGCTTAATGCAAAGTCTCTGTAATAAATTTTTTTACATTTGTCACTAAACTGCAAATGAACTCATCTATATTTGATCTACTTTACAAATATGTCTGTTTGTGAGTTGTGAATATCTCTCCCAAAAAAGTACTTTTTAGATGTTTAAATAATTATTAAAGAAACACTAGTATTTAACAAGGATCACACAAGAGTCTTGAACCTTAAAAACACTATTAAATGCACCTTTAATCCAAAATGTTCGTTTATTAGATGTAGTTGGCTTGGCTTGAACTAGCAGCTAAATTGTAAATCCAATGTTGGGTGCTATTGACTGACTGCTTTTCCTGTAATCGATCAGCTCAAAACTAGAGATGGCTAGTGGAAATGGCCATTGTATATCTTTGCATGAATATAAAAGTCAAACAAAACATGAGATATATTTGATAAACAAGAAACTACACATGTTTTACAAAAGTCCCTATTCAAGATGGTACCTTTTTTAGATGCAAAGATCTGGTTTATTTATTTTTCTAACCTAAAACTACATATAACTTGAAATATTTACATGGTTGTTTATTTAAGGGTTTCACTAAAACTTCAATAGCTGTTTCACCAAAAATAAATCATATTTGAAAAAAATCAAAACAATTTTTGAGAAAATTGAAAAAAATGTTCAATCATTGGAACTGCTTGTTCATTAAAAATTGTTGTAAGGAAAAAATAATTGTGTTTTGAAAAACACCTCACAGTGATTTGAAACATTTCTTTGTATTTTTATGTTGCTGTTGTATTTGTGTTTATTAAGGACTAGTCACGTTGTATTGGACTAAAACAAACAGCTGCTACAATCGGAGTTGAACAATTTTAATCTTTGACAAACCACAGAAATACAAAATATAACTTTCAAACAACTAGAATACAAATTTTATCACTAACCAAAAACACAGTTAATAACTATATGCCTGACCAGAACTTAATACTCATGTTAATGAACAATATAACATAAATATCAATGTTAATAATTATTTTAATAAATAGAGAATTAGGAAAAAACACACAAAGAAAAAGCTAATTCAGAAAAAAAAACAATATTCCAAATTTAAACAACTTCAGGATGAATAATAATATCAAGCAACAATCAGCAACGATATGTTTTAACTATATCTTGGGAACTAGCTCATTTAAGCGTAAGGCAGGGTTTTTATTTAGTGGTTAGACCACAAGGTTACATCTCATATGACTAGCTAATTTACATAATCCTTCACAACATTAATATCTGTACATCAGCATTAAGGGAAGCTTGTGTTAGTTTTATAATACAAGCGTACTTAAAATATGTGTGCTCTAGATAGAAGGTGAGTTAGCTCTTTCATATAACTAAAAATTCATAGTTGAACAAAATTATAGAAATCATAAATGAATGGTAAACAAAACCATAATGAAATAAAAGTAGAATTTACTATCTCATAATGTGGTTCAGTTTCTGTTGTATTTGTGTTTACTAAGGATCAGTCATGATTCAGTATCTGTTTTATTTGTGTTTATTAAGGACTAGTCTTGTGGTTCAGTATGATTGGATTTGTGTTTATTAAGGATGAGTCATGTGGTTTTCTTCTGTTGTATTTTTACTAGATAATTATTTTTAATACACCAGACTAGTTTTTTTGTGAACATTTATACCTTTAAAGTATGATTTTAAATATTTGGTAACTTATGAAAACTCACAACGACATCTGTTTCACTGTTACATTAGATAAGTTTACAATAACATTGAGAAATAAATAATTCCAAAAAAATTGTACATTCAAACTCTTTAGCATATCTAAAATTAAATTAATTTTCTCTTTGCCTTGTTTTTATGTAATAGGTGTGGTTCAACAATAAGGGCTGGGCATCTTCTGTAGCATACACGAATGCTTTAAACAACCTTATACTTCGCACTCATCTCCCTCCTCATCTTGATCCTCGTCAGTACGGCATATCTGTGGTAAATCAGCCAATGAACTTTACTCAGGATCAGCTACAGGAAGAACTGCTGTAAGTAGAACTTAGCATTGTTAAAATATGTATTAAAGCGTGTGGCTACTGAAAATGATTGTGATGAGGGTTCAGCCGAACTTGACCATTGTCCACCATACTGTGTACAAGATTATACATGATTTAAAAAAATTGTCTTTAATGTGTATGATGTCATGTGTCAGATTAAATTTTTTTGAAGTTATACAGTAAGAGTTGTAAGTGTGACACATCATTCTGTGAAGTTAAAATTTTTCTGAGGATATTAAAACTGCAAGTATTTGAATCCACATCTCTGCTGATATAATACAAATACTTTAACTCATTTGTTTGAATTGTTAAGGAAATTGTAAACAATTGTAAATTAGATTTTTTTTATACATGTTTATTATTTTTTTGTTGAGATTTAAAAAGTTTTATTTTCTAAATAGATACGAGTATCAATTTGATTATAAAAAAGATAGGTTTTATAAACAAATGTTCATATGAAGTTCTACTTATCCATAAAGTAAGACCAGTACATTTTATTCAATTCTAGAAATATTAGGGTATTTAACATAAATAATATGGCTTGAAAACTTTCAACAGTGAGATTGTACCGAGAATGCATTTTTGCACTGTTATCTGACTCAACATCGGTAATGTGTTTTTGCAAACTTGTGAGTGAGAATCTACTGGTAACATAATAAGCTATTGTATTGTCAGCTGACTAAACATTGGTAATATGTTTTGAAAACTTTGGAAAGTGAGAGTATACACATGGTATTCACAGATACAGTGATTTCATGCAGAAAAAAAATGGATAGTTTCTTCAACAACAGGATATCCATCAAGTACTATACAACAGAGAATGGGTTTGTCTTTCCCCCGCACTAACTGAATCTGACACAAAGTAAGAGGCATTACACAAAACAACAACGACAGAAACAATCAACACTAATACAAACAATATGAGACAAATATTTTGTGTGCTTTGAAAACACTGGAGAAAGAGATATCTTTATTTACAGAAAAACAATCAATGTTAAAATAAATAACATGAGATGGTATTATGTATGTTTATGAAACAAGGGAGAGAGATAACAGTCCTTATTTACTGAAAACAATAAAATAAACAAAACAAGACAAGTGTGCTTGTGAAATCCTGGAGAGAGTGAGAGAGATCTGTATTTACAGAAAACAGTTAATGTTAAAACAAATAATACGAGACAAGTGTTCTGTATTATGCTTGTGAAACAATGGAGAGAGACAGAGATCTTTATGACATAAAACAATCAACAATAAAATAAACAATAAAAGACAAGTGTTCTGTATTATGCTTGTGAAACAATGGAGAGAGACGGAGATCTTTATTAACAGAAAACAATCAACAATAAAATAAACAATAAAAGACAAGTGTTCTGTATTATGCTTGTGAAACAATGGAGAGAGACGGAGATCTTTATTGACAGAAAACAATCAACAATAAAATAAACAATAAAAGACAAGTGTGCTTGTGAAATCCTGGCGAGAGTGAGAGAGATCTGTATTTACAGAAAACAGTTAATGTTAAAACAAATAATACGAGACAAGTGTTCTGTATTATGCTTGTGAAACAATGGAGAGAGACAGAGATCTTTATTGACAGAAAACAATCAACAATAAAATAAACAATAAAAGACAAGTGTTCTGTATTATGCTTGTGAAACAATGGAGAGAGACAGAGATCTTTATTGACAGAAAACAATCAACAATAAAATAAACAATAAAAGACAAGTGTTCTGTATTATGCTTGTGAAATAATGGAGAGAGAGATTTTTATTATAAGTATCTTTTTATAGAGAGAAGGGAGATTAAACTTATGTTTATTTGTAAATACCTTGTTATAAAGAAAAAGAGAATAGTCTTAAGTTTGATTGTAAATATGTTGCTTTACAGGAAGAAGGGAGGTTTGAGTTTGCTGCATGCTGTGTGTGTTATCTTTGCCATGTCATTTGTTCCTGCAAGTTTTGTTATGTTTCTGATCGAAGACCGAGTGTGTGGTTCCAAGCATTTACAGTTTGTCAATGGAGTCAAGCCTTTAGTTTACTGGATAGCAACCTACATTTGGGACCTGGTAAGGAACTTGTTTATGATGTGGTTTGAGATGTTTTTACAAATGTCTATTAGGCCAAAGTGTGGTGAAAGAAAAGACATCAGTATTGGATAGCATTGTGTTCCAACTGAATGTAAAAAACAAAACAAATTATTATAACTCCCCCCCCCTCCCCC